CCTAAATCAATGATTCTGTTAAAATATCCTTTATGTTTGCTAAGCAAATCTGACATTGTTGTGCCATATCCTTTTTGGAAATATCAATCACATTTATGTTGTATTACATGAAAAATATAGTCTGACATGGTGAAACCTGCCAGGAAACTCAGTTTTTCCTCATAGTGGGCCTGCAAAGCTTACAGAACAGAAAAAAACCTCAGGAAAAATAGTATTTTCTCTGCCATGCATCTCATCTGGACTTGATTCTTCTGAATACAAGTTAGAAATAACTTTTATCCATTTTGCTGGAAGCTGTCCTTAAATGCAAAAATCTGGTCCTTACCTTCCCCTACCAAACTGTTTATGTGTAAAAACTCTACCAGCAACTTCATAGCAAACATTTCTGTACTTGCTCTCCATACGTGTGTATGTATATTGTGGCTGCAACATAGCAATCCTGTATCGTCAGTGTGACTTCTAATACATCTTCCCACCTTTATTAGCTGCTGAATTTAAAAAGAAAGTCAGGACTGAGTTTGGAAATGTTGGAGACAATCCAGTCATATGGAGCGCTTCAGAAATTAAGCCCATTGTGTCAAATATTCAACAGCCCACACAAATAAGTTCCAATCAAACTGTGGATTGATTAACTTAAGCTCATACAAGCTTGGAAAGAAGTGGTCTTTATTCAAACGACAAAGTATGGAGAGCGGGGAGAAGTGTCCTTTTCTCACCTATTTATAAAAGGTTAGAAAATATCATTCACCACGTGCTGAGTGTCTCTCCTAGGACAACACAGTTCAGGTTTCCTCTGGGAGCCTCATCCTTTCTTACGTAGTCCTTTGGCAAGGTCAGAGACAACAGACCGTTCCACAGCCTGTGCACGGGCTTAGGTAACCCTAGAAAAGAGGATGATTATTTGCATGGTGAGAGTAGGGTATGATACTAAATGAAGAAAGCCGGGATATGTGGCACTAATATGTTTACTTTTTAACTCACCATAGCTTCTTTCTGCTGTTTATCCCGGAACTTGACGGCAGACTTACCTGTCCATGCTTTGTCTCATCCTTATTAATTGTCTGCTTGTGCTCCCTTCATTTACACATTGCTTGTGCTCCAGCTCTTTGTTTAGGCCCAGCCTATTTCCAGGGTATGCCAGGAAGCCCTATGCATTCAGAGAAAGCTTCTCCCATCTTGTAGCACACAAACACTTTAATTAGCATGTGCATATAACACAAGTATAAATAGTGCACAGCAGAGAGAAGCTAAATTTAAGGTGAACTACAGTATCTATATTCCACCACTGAAATTAATCTGCAAATACTGTTTAGAGCGATACTACCCTATTGATTTAATAGTTCCATAGATACAATACGCAAGATTGGTGGGGCTTTAAAATCAGCAAGCACACTCTTAGGTTTCAGTTGGATTGAAACCACAGTTCAGTATCTCAGAAATTAATGTTTTTTGCATTTAATCATCTTTAATAATAATTTTGCATTTAATAAAAAGCACATAAAGGAGGTTTTCAAACTAAGCTTGCTGTTATCGCTCAAAACATGCCTCCTTTTCCTGCTCCACTGCTCTGTGACCTTTCTCCTTTTTCACTCTCAAATTAGCTTCCCAACATATTGACTACCCCTCCCAATTTGGTGTCGTCTGGGAACTTGCTGAGGATGCACTTCACCTTGTCACTGAGAGCATTAGGGAAGATGTTGTACAGGGCTGGCCCCAGTATAGACCCCTGAGGAACGTCCCTTCTAACTACCCACGAAAACTTCATGTAAGTAAGTCTTCACGAAGATTTGCCCCTAAGTTTTCCCAGGCGGTGAGGTGAGGTGGACTGGTCTTTGGTTGCCTGGACTTCTGATTGTCTTTTTTAAAGGTGGACATAACATTTTCTTTTTAATTGTTCATTTTTGTATTTCAAAGTCATGTAAAACTTTGTTGTATTTGCTACCAGGTGAACTCATTTTGTGAAACTAAAATCAATGCCAAACACAACCAGAGAGAGTTTCACAATGTTGTAACCTGCTGCCAATCTCCATGCTCCCACAGGAGTGCACGACTTCTCCTCCTGCTGTCCCCTCAGAAACTAAGATCCTTCCCTTTTACAGGTGGGAGACCTGCAGTTTTCCAAGCATGTCTGAATCATAACATTTACAATACCTTAAAAGCCTTCCAGGACCCTTCTAAAACGCACACATAAAAATGAGGTAATTCTGTACGTACTGTCAATAAGCCTGATGAATACGGGCTGTACCAGTCAGTTTTTCCTATCTCTGACACCATCAATTCCAGCTCCAGTTCACAGCACCTCATTGCTAATTTCTCTGGCGTTGTCTGTCTTTCACCAGGTCTGTGAAGAGAAGATAATTGCTGCTTCAATCTCCGTCTCTGGCCTGAGAAGAGAGTTTGAAATATTATGTGGCCTGGAAGGAAAATAGGATACAGAAAAAGAAGAGGGATGGAAGGAGATTTTAAATGGAATAAAATGCTGTTCCTCCTTTTCTCCCCTTCTAGCACATGAATCTGTGATCTCTGGGCTTTATACTCAGAGGCTGTACTTTAACCACTTGTAAGTATCTAACCTCTTCAAAACATCTTGCAAGGTAATGTGTTTTTTGGTTGTTTTTTTTTTTTTTTTTCGAGAATGCTGCTATGCTATGTAATCCTGTGCTGAACTACTGTGAAGTACTTAGGGCAAACGTGGGCTAAAAAAAGGTCCTTCAGGAAGCCTGTTACAAATAAACCCCACCAAGTTACAAAAGGGAGTGTGCTGCTCCTCCGGCACACCTGCTGCTAGCAGCGGTGTGCTGCGGGGAGGCAGGGTGGCTGCCCCCGCCGTCGGTCCCCAGCTTCCCCGCAGCCCCTGCCCCTTCTGACGGGCTCCGATGGGCAGGGCCAGCCCGAAATGCTCTGGCTGCCTCCTTACCCCAGGCACCCCAGGGGCTGAAGGGGCTGCTGAGGGAGAGGGCTTTTCGTAAGAAAACAAGTCTCAACCTGTTTTAGATTAAAACGGCAGAGGTGTCCACGCCTCACCCCGCCGGGGGTCGGCAAGGGGAGCGGGGACCCCGGCCCCACCGCCCGCCGGGCCGGGCCGGGCTGCGC